GAGCAGACACGGATCGCCAAGGGCAACGCACAGACTGACCGAGTGGACCTGCGGACCCTGCTCCGCTACTACAACCAGAGCAAGGCCGGTGAGTGACCCCGTCCCGGGGCGCAGGTCACGACCCCTCCCCATCCCCCACGGACGGCCCGGGTCTCCCCGAGTTTCCGGGTCCGAGATCCGCCCCGAGGCTGCGGGACCCGCCCAGACCCTCGACCAGGGAGAGACCCAGGCGCCTTTACCCGGCTTCATTTTCAGTTGAGGCCAAAATCCCTGCGGGTTGGTCGGGGCGGGGCGGGGCTCCGGGGACTGTACTGACCGCGGGGGCGGGGCCAGGGTCTCACACCCTCCAGTGGATGTTTGGCTGCGACCTGGGACCCGACGGGCGCCTCCTCCGCGGGTATCACCAGCAAGCCTACGACGGCAAGGATTACATCGCCCTGAACGAGGACCTGCGCTCCTGGACCGCCGCGGACATGGCGGCTCAGAACACCCAGCGGAAGTGGGAAGCGGCCGGTGAGGCAGAGCAGTGGAGAGCCTATCTGGAGGGCGAGTGCGTGGAGTCGCTTCGCAGATACCTGGAGAACGGGAAGGAGACGCTGCAGCGCGCGGGTACCAGGGGCAGTGGGGAGCCTTCCCCATCACCTCTAGATCTTCCGGGATGGCCTCCCATGAGGAGGAGAGGAAAATGGGAACAGCGCTAGAATGTCCCCTCCCTTGAATGGAGAATGGCATGAGTTTTCCTGATTTCCTTTGAGGGCCCCCTCTGCTCTCTAGGACAATCAAGGGATGACGTCTCTGAGGACATGGAGGGGAAGACAGTCCCTGGAATACTGATCAGGGGTCCCCTTTGACTCCTGCATCAGCCTTGGGCACCGTGAATTTTTCTCTCAGGCCTTATTCTCTGCCTCACACTCAATGCGTTTGAAGGTCTGATTCCAGCTTTTCTGAGTCCCTCGGCCTCCGCTCAGGTCAGGACCAGAAGTCCCTGTTCCTCCCTCAGAGACTAGAACTCTCCAAGGAATAGGAGATTATCCCAGATGCCTGTGTCCAGGCTGGTATCTGGCTTCTGTGCTTCCTTCCCCACCCCAGGGGTCCTGTTCATTCTCAGGATGGTCACATGGGTGCTGTTGGGGTGTCCCATGAGAGATGCAAAGCGCGTGAATTTTCTGACTCTTCCCATCAGAACCCCCAAAGACACACGTGACCCACCACCCCGTCTCTGACCATGAGGCCACCCTGAGGTGCTGGGCCCTGGGCTTCTACCCTGCGGAGATCACACTGACCTGGCAGCGGGATGGGGAGGACCAAACTCAGGACACGGAGCTTGTGGAGACCAGGCCAGGAGGAAATGGAACCTTCCAGAAGTGGGGAGCTGTGGTGGTGCCTTCTGGAGAAGAGCAGAGATACATGTGCCATGTGCAGCATGAGGGGCTGCCGGAGCCCCTCACCCTGAGATGGGGTAAGGAGGGGGATGAGGGGTCATGTCTCTTCTCAGGGAAACAGGAGCCATTCTGGAGCCCTTCAGCAGGGTCAGGGCCCCTCACCTTCCCCTCCTTTCCCAGAACCATCTTCCCAGTCCACCATCCCCATCGTGGACATTGTTGCTGGCCTGGCTGTCCTAGCAGTTGTGGTCATCGGAGCTGTGGTCGCTGCTGTGATGTGGAGGAGGAAGAGCTCAGGTAGGGAAGGGGTGTGGGGTGGGGTCTGGGTTTTCTTGTCCCACTGGGGGTTTCAAGCCCCAGGTAGAAGTGTTCCCTGCCTCATTCCTGGGAAGCAGCATCCACAC